TGGCCATGGCAGCCAGGTCCTCTGCAAGAGCAAGTGCTCTTAACTGTTGAGCCATCTCTGCAGCACATGTAGTGGACAATACCAGTAGTTGCAAGTTTTGCCCCCTCTTTCAATGTGGCCATTTGATTCGGGTGGGGCAGGCTTAGCTGGAATTCTAGGATAGTCCAGTCCCCCTGAACCACAATCTTTCCAAAATGGGCCTGCAATCCAACCTAAGACATCCAGGTTCAAAGAGATTTGGGGATGTCTGAGCAGAGGAAGTTTTCTTTCCATCAGTGGGAATACCACAAGGCACTCTCTTCCATCCAACAGTGGTCATAAAGATAAGAGGTCTGACCTGGAAAGTAGCCATTTTTTTTTTTACAAGGGGTGGCATCTGGAGCTGCCAAGAACACTCTCTGTAAGCAATAAAACCAGCACAAAAGGCTTCAGATAGAGAGAGCTTACCCAGCATGCTTAGCAACCTGGATTTGCTCTCCAGCACCAGAGGCAAATTAACAATAGGAAAAAGCCAGTAAATAGCTAAGGGCAAAGAAAAAATATGGAGAGAAACAAGTTCTTACCTGAAATCATTTGAGCCATTAGACTGAAGCACATTTCAAGCCAGATTTCACTGTACTCGTGGGTAAATAAGCCAGTGACATTCCTTTGTTGCTTAAATGGGTCTGTTTGTTTGTTTGTTTGGGGATTTGGGGTTTTTTGTTTGTTTGTTTGGTTGGTTGGTTTTCCGAGACAGGGCTTCTCCGTGTAACCCTGGCTATCCTGGAACTCTATAGACCAAGCAGCCTGTCTCTGCCTCCTGAGTGCTGGGATTAAAGCTGGGTGCCACTGTTAATCCCACCTGTCAAGAATAAAGGCACTGCAATAGTTTAAAGCCAAATTTGAAGCAAGCTTTAATTAAATACTGGCCAGATGGATGGACTCTTTGGCCAGGTCCATCTCTGAGTTTCCAGAAAGTGGCCCCAAGTCACAATTTACAAGGGCTGAAAGTATTTCCCATCAGGTCCAATCAGGGGCAAGCATACATCCTGACTATTTCCTGCCTATAAACCTCCTACCCACATGTGATCAAGGACATCCTGTGCAGATGGGTCAAACAAACTTGTTTAGGGGAGTGAGAACACGTGACTTGTTATCTCCCATAAACAACAGCCTCCAGCATTTCAGGAACTATCTGTCCTTGGGCAAGGGGGGCTTGCTGATCAGAGGCATTTGTGTTTCATGGGTCCCTTAGCCACAGCAATTAAAACTTAAAATGTAACTTTGGCTCTCACACCAGTATATCAGGCTTAAAAGGGTCTCATATTTATTTACTTACTTTGTTTGGGATGGCAGCATGTAAGGTATATTGCCTACACGTATGTAAGACAACTTACTTCTAGAAGTCAGTCTTTCCTTCTATCATGAGAGTGAATCTCTGGGATTGAAGACTCACTGTCAGATTTGGCAGCAAGCACTTTTACAAAAAAAGATGATCCAAGATATAAATGATTAAAATGATAAATTGTATGTTATAGAAATTATATCACGCCGGGCGGTAGTGGCACAAACCTTTAATCCCAGCACTCGGGAGGCAGAGGCAGGCGGATCTCTCTGAGTTCGAGGCCAGCCTGGGCTACCAAGTGAGTTCCAGGAAAAAGGCAGAAAGCTACAGAGAAACCCTGTCTTGAAAAAACAAAAACAAAAAAAAAAAAGAAAAAGAAAAAGAAATTATATCACAAGAACTAACATCTGACAGAGGGGGGAAAATGTTCAACTTAGTATGTGTGAAGCCTCTGAGTGTCTGTTGTTGCAGGCCCTGGAAAGGTCAAAGGCATTCGAGACCTATCTTGCCCCCTGAAGACCTTTCCTCCAGCTTTGTGCAGGAATCCCGCCTTCATTCCAGCCTAGCTCAGTGGCTTTCATTCTCAGGCTCCTGAGAGAGAGGGAGAGAGAGGGAGGGAAGGAGAGAGCAAGAGTGCTCACTCAATGCAGTAGTTATTCTATACCAAACACTGTGTGTTGGGTTGGAGCCTCCAGCTTGCCCTTGCATGATCCCGAAAGCCGGTCCTGTCTCTCCAAACCCCGCCCACTCAGAGAATCTCCAAACAAAGGGAAGGCTCCAAAAAGCCCAGTCTGCATGCATTGGTGGCCACTGCAGCTCTTCCCCTGCAGTTGCCAGCAGACCAGTCCTAGCAGACTCACCATCGCCCCTGGCCTGCTGCAGGCCGCAGGAATGTATCATTAGAACTCAGCCGGTTATGGCAAAGTCATTACCTGAAGGGATCAAGGATTTCCTCCAGAGGAAGCCAAATTCCAAGGAGTTTTTGGTGTTACTTGGCTTGTTATATATCAGCTGTCTTCTGTTATGAAAATCATGTGTGCCTTCACAGTTTTCCCAATTGACTTTTCTCTAAGAAGGGCTAACAGTGTGGACCGATCACTCTCTGGACATACACATTCCAGGTATTTGGAGAACAGCCTCAGGAAAGGCTTTCTCTGGAATCAGATATCTCCCCTAGCCACTTTCAAGGACTACAGGAAACACCGCCCAGGTGGGCGCCCAACTTCTGAGGTTAACAATGATAACAGCCCACCTGCAAGTCTCCTGACTTACAGTAAATTCCACAAGGAGACACCACCTAGGTGAGGTGGACGTTAAGTAATAGCTTTACACAATTTGGCTTGGACCCTCCCTTTATACCAGAACTTCCAGGGCACGAGACGAAGAAGAGAAAAGAGAATGGAAGAACTAGATGGGTAAGAACTTGAGAGGAACAAACTGAGATGGGGAAGAACTAGATTGAAGGGCTAGAAGAGAGTACTAGAGGAACGAGATGGAAGATGAGGAAGAGCTAGATGGGGAAGAACAAGATAAGGAAGAACAAGACGAGGGAGAGGGAGATGGGAGAGGAGCTGATATGGGAAAGAACTAGATGGATGAGAACCTAGAAGGGACAGAACTAGATGAAGGAATTAAGATAGAACCTAGAGGGGACTGCAGATAAATGTAGAGAGAAATCAGTCAAGAAATGAGCTAAATATGAGAGCAGAATATAAGCTTGTAACTGACACAGAATAATAAAGTATATGGACTAAGGAGTTTCGTGTACATAGATTCATTTCTTTTCATCAAAGATTAATTATCAGCTGGTTGTAGATTCTTCCCAGACCCTGGGAGGGGACTATCGAGGGGCTGGACACCCTCCCCCCTCCCCCAGTTCCCAATACTTGCCTACAGGCTGTATAATCTCTCTGCTTTAGTTTGGGCATATAGTTTCTCCGGCTTCTGGGACTGGAGAACTCACCTGGGAGTTGCTTTGTTCAAATAAACTTGTTCTTCTACTTTTTCATTTCAGCTTGATCTGGCTTTCTATGTTGTCAGAGAAACCCATGATTGGGGTACAGAAAACCTATTACTGTGCAGAGTAAATTCTGTTACCATCTGATTTTCTTTTATTAGCTATCTTTCTGTCATCCTTATTTTGTGGGTGGAAATACTGAGGGTTAGGGAGTAATCAAGCAGATGTGGGCAGGGCTGGAACTCCTTAGGGGCCACGTTCAGGGTTAAAGGCTCCGCTGACATTAGTTATCAGTGGAGGAAGCCAAAGAGAGGTCCGAAGCCTCTAAGGCATAAACAAGTTCTCACCAACAATTCCTCCTCTCTAGGCAACAAAACCAGAAAAACAAACAGTGGTTAGCAGCACATTTGCTTCTACGGCAACTGAAAACCCAGGACCTTTTATTTCTGATTAGACTTTTCCTAACAAGAGACTGGAGAGACGGCTCAGCAGTTAGGAGCACTTGTTGCTCTTGCAGAGGACCCAGGTTCAGTTCCCAGCACCTACATGGTGACTCACTACTGTAACTCCAGTTCCAGCGGATCTGACACTCCCTTCTGACCGACCTCCTTGAGCACCAGGCAAGTATGTGGTGCACCTACATACATGCAAGTAAAAACACTCATACACATAGAACAAAATTAATTAATTAAATAATTAAAATTTTCCCAGCAAGCTCTACTTTGGGGAAGAAAAGGGATGGCCAGCCTTACTCAGTTGTTGTGTTGAACTGTCACTGTATATACTATGCTATGGTGGTCCTCAGTGGGCAAAGAAAAGGAGATGGAAATGGGGACTAAAAAGGAACTTGAAGGATCTTGAATGACCTAAACGCTGTGACTTTTAAGAAAGATGGTGTCTTAGACAAGTGTCTGAGATAAAGGTAGGTCTGAGATATAATGTGAAGGGCTTTTGATGACATGGACTAGGTAGACTCCAAATCCTAAAATGGAATAGTTATATAAAGATATAATGTAAATATAGATGTCTGGAGATTGCCAGGAACACATTATCAAAATGATCAGACTGGTACCCATTACCAAACTCCGAAAACAAAGCATGAAGAGAAACTGATGAAACTGTAGCTAAACATAAGCACAAGGCAACATCGTCCACACCTAATGCCCAAGTCTTCCTTTGGCATTGGGTACCATGCAGGCTTCCGTTCTATCATCTCATTTAACCATCCTCTGTGAGGTAGGCATAGGCAATAAAATGAAGCTTGGGAAGGCAGTTAATTCACCAAGATCTTCCTCACTAGCGGTAACTGATTCTTGATACAGCTTCCCCAGAGAAATAACTATGAGCCCTTAGTTAGACTCTATTAGACTGAGAATAGAACCTTGGCTTGTTGGGCCAGAAATAGAAACCTTAGACTCTCTGATTTTAAGCTATCACAGTCAGACTCTTAAGGTCCTGTAACTGCAAGCGCCGGATTAATTCTCTGAGCAGATGTAGCTCCCACCATCTGGTCGAAAGGAATTGCTGAGCAGTCCAGTAACTAGTTATCATAAACAACAGCAGCTTTGAAACGTCTCCTAGCTCTTGCATCATCTATAAACAGATTGACTCACTCAACAGATGTTCGCTGATAGCATGCTATGTGTTGGCCACTGTATAAAGGTAAATGGAACACTGTCTTTCAAAGAACTTCTTGTCTGTTGGGGAAATCAAAATGGTACTTGAACAAATCTGCCTTAAAAAAATTCATGAAAATTACCCTGGAGGTGAGCTGTGATGGCTGAGTAGAAACTCTTGAAGAACATTTTAGGAAGAAAAGATTCTAGACAGAAGAATTGGCATCTGCAAAGTTGTAAAAATAATGAAGTCTGTTTACAGAATAGCACCAGACTTTCTGGAGCTACAGTAGATGAGAGGAAAGCACTGAGCAGGAAGTGAAACTCTAGGGTAATGTAGACGTTGGGAAGTCATTAAAACACAATGTGGGACCAGGGACACGGCTCAGTTGACCTTGAATGCATGACACTCTGGGTTCAGTTCCCAGCACCCATATCAGGAAGCTTACAGCTGCCTGTGACTCCAGCTGTGGGGCATCCAGTGCCCCCTTCTGGTATCCTTGACACCAGGCACACATATGGTGCACATACATACATACATGCAGGCAAAACACTCATATACGTAAACTTGATAAAATACTTTTTTAAAGAAAAATCTTGGAATGGACTAACCTGAGTTGAGTATGATCACTTGCTGTGTGGTTTCAGGAAAGTCACTTCACTGATTACAGCCTTAACTTCCCTGTCCAAAAACCAGACTTCATGGAATTGTGGGGCTAATTCATTGAGGTAATCTATTTAGATTCCTTATTCCAATGTGCATGGACATTGCTAACCTGTAATAATAGAAGCTGCAAGAATAAGTACTGTGTTAGTAACACTTTGAAATAGGGAGCCAGAGGGATGGCTTACCTACTGAGAGCACTTGTTGCACTAGTGATGCTGGACACCTTTAACCCCAGCACTCAGGAGGCAGAGGCAGATGGATCTCTGAGTTCAAGGCCAGCCTGGTCTACAGAGAGAGAGTTCCAGGATAGCCCGGGCTACACAGAGAAACCCTATCTCAAAAAAGAAAACAAACAAACAAACAAACAAAAAAGAGCACTTGTTGCTCTTGCAGAGGGTCCAGATTTGGTTTCTAACACCCAGCACGGTGGCTCACAACTCTCTGTAGCTCCAGTTTCAGGGAATCAGCTCTCTCTTCTGACTACCATAGGCAGCAGGCACACTTACGATGCACATACACACACAGGCAAGCAAAGCACTTGTACGCATAAAATGAAATCAATAAATACTTTAAAAATTTATCCTAGGAACATCAATGGCCTTAATATACTATTCACCTGATAGTATATGTTAATTTTTAATAGTATTTGGGAAAGAGATTCGGTAATAACTGTTACAGAGTTCTATAGCTATGAAACATTGGGACTTACCGTTCCTTCCTCTGCACTTTATACATTTCTTTAAAATTTATTTAGAGTATGTGTGTGAATGTATGTGTGAGTATATATCTGTTCTTGCGTGTGCATGCAGGCCAGACATGTCCATTAGGTAGACATGTCATGGCATATGTGTGGAGGTCAGAGAACAATCTGGGGGAGTCAGTCCTCTCTTTATACCATCTGGGTCCCAGGAGCTTAACTCAGGTCATCAGGCTTGGCGGCAAGTTCCTTTTCACAAGGAGCCCTCTTGCCAGCCCCTCTCTGCCCCCCTCTGAGATGCCTCTGCTGTGTACCCGTCTCAACGCTTCGGTCTTTCTCCCTTGTGGTTCTGCAGAAAAGGATCCTCACCAGACTGAGCTCTTTATGAGCAAAGTTATAAAGTCACTTTCCCTTCCCCCAGCAAGACTTGCCAAAGTTACACATTTTGCAGGTAGTAGTCACTCATATGTTTGCCAAAAATGTGATTTTCTTATTTTTAACATCAGATTTCCTTGTTAGTGAATATCTTGAAAGTTTTGCAAACTTTTTACAAAGCTTCAGAGCTAGAAGGAACCAGAAGAACCTAATGCTCTTGTTTTACAGAAGAGGATCCTGAGACTAGCGTGGTTGCCAGATCTACAACTAGAATTTAATTTCCATTTGTGTACTAATCACTCATCACTTATTTTTGTAAGCAGGGTCTCCTGGTATAGCCTGAGCACATATTTTGATGTCAAGAAGTGCTAACCCTAGAGAAATTTGAATTTCTGCCAATTGCCATTTTTACTTTTTTTTTTCGAGACAGGGTTTCTCTGTGTAGCTTTGGTGCCTTTCCTGGAATTCACGCTGTAGCCCAGGCTGGCATTGAACTCACAGAGATCTGCCTGCTTCTGCCTCCCGAGGACTGGGATTAAAGACGTGCGCCATCACCACCACCACCGCCCAGCCCGCTTTTTTTTTTTTTTTTTTTTACAATTTCTTAAAGTGTCATTTTGTCTTATTTAACACTTTGATAGAAAAAGACAGTAGACTTGCTTACATTTCCCACAAGCATGAGTATCCAGGGCTCTGTTTCCATTCTTAGGGCTAGTCTCTTCTGACTGGATATTCCCAAGGCACAACTAATCTGCTGATGTCTTTAAATATTTCACATATCACCTTTGAGAATACACAGAGAGAATTAGGATTAGATGGCATGTAGCAGTGCAGAGAACAATTCAGGACAAAGGACTGAAAAACAATGTCAAGGACTGGGGGAAATTACATAATTATAAAAGTACAATACAAAAGCAAAAACAGTCATGTAAGATGTTATTGGGGTAAACTGAGTAAAGGGTGCCTAAAACATGTCTGTACTTTTTTTTTTCCTGAGAAAGGGTTTCTCTATCAGCCCTAGTTGTCCTGGAACTCTCTCTGTAGACCAGGCTGACCTCGAACTCAGAGATCCCCATGCCTCTGCCTCTCAAGTGCTGGGATTAGGCTCCACCACACCTAGAATAAAAAGTTGCTAGGTGTGTGTGGGGTGTGTGTGTGTGTGTGTGTGTGTGTGTGTGTGTGTGTGAGTTTGGTTTAGTTTCTTTTAGTTTTTGAGACACAGTTATGTCATATAACAACAAAAGTGCTCAGACAGACTCCAAAGTTGTACCACCATCCTGGGGGTTTTGTTAATTACAATAATATACAATATATCATTGTATATGACATTCTGTTCATTAAAAAACAAAAACTCTGCAATACTAGGTCGGAATTGTAAAGCACATCTGTAACCCCGAAACTCAGACGAGGAGAATCGGGAGTTGTAGGCCATCTCTCCCATCTCTGGGGAGGTACAGACAGCCCTGGGGGAGGGGGTCAGACTCCTGAGCAGTGTGGCCACTGCCAAGTTGCCCTTGCTCAGAAAATGCCTCCCATCCACTCGTGCAGGCAACCCTAGCTAAACGCAGTGGGACAGACACACTCAAAAGAAGGGAGGAGGAAAGAAGCTGGAAGTGGGGGAATTTGTTGGGGAAAAGGGGGTTTGGTGAGGGGAAGGCCAAAGGGAGGGTAATGGAGGATATGATCAAACTATATTAAATATATATGAAAATGTTAAGAAATAACTAAGTAAATGCAAGTTCAAGGCCACCCTCCACTACATAGTGAGTTTGAGCCAGCCAGGACTATATAAAACCCTGTCTCAAAAAAGGATTAGCATATTAATGAATAAATACTAAAAAACATGAATTAGGGGGCTGGAGAGATGGCTCATAGGTTAAGAGCACTGCTTGTTCTTCCAAAGGTCCTGAGTTCAATTCCCAGCAACCACATGGTGGCTCACAACCATCTGTAGTGAGATCTGGTGCCCTCTTCTGGCCTGCAGGGGTGTGTGCAGACAGAACACTGTATACATAATAAATAAATAAATCTTAAAAAAAAAAACATGAATTGTAGCAGGATGGTGGTAGTACACAAACCGCTAATCCCAGCACTCGGGAGGCAGAGGCAGGCAGATCTCTGTGAGTTTGAGGCCAGACTAGTCTATAGAGTGAGTTTTAGGTCAGCCAGGGCAACACAAAGAAATCCCATTCAAAAACCCCAAAATAAATACACCCCTCCCCCAATTCCTCCTCCCACTCCGTGTCCCCTGACATTCTAGTTGCCTGGGAAGTCCTGGGAGTTGTGAGGTCACCTCTTCCCTCTTCCCTCCCTGAAGCCACTGGTAGGAGTTACTTGGTGAGGAGAGGGTCAGTATCCACTGCTTGTTCAACATGGAAATGTTTACTCCATGCAAGGATGCAGGCATCATCACCCTTCAATTCTCCTGAAAAGAGTTAAAGACAGACAGACAGACAGACAGACAGACAGACAGACACACACACACACACACACACACACACACACACACACACACACACACTCAGTAAAAAGAGCAGGACTTCCAGAAGAGTCTTCTAGCCTCTGAGCAATCTCATCTAAAGCACTGAAATGTCAGAAAGTCACTTCTCCTTCTTCAAGGTCACACGGGCTGGCTAAAGGCAAGTTTGCATTGTTAAGCAGACCACACAAATTTCATCTTGAAGCATTAGCACTCTGACTTAACCAGTGAGCACTGGAACTCACACTCAATGGGTATATGGAGACTTCTCTAGCAGACAAACCACAGAGACCAATGGGTAAGTCAGTCTTCTTTCCCTGTCTGTCTGTCCCTCTCTGTAACCCTCCCACCTTCTACCTTGTGGGGTGTCCACACAGGAGTGTATGTGTGCAGGTGCTTCTGCCTATTAGGCACTAAGAGTTAGATTCCCTGCTACAGAGACAGGAAGAGGGCCATGGATTAGGTAATAAAATAAAGGTGGTGAACTTCCAAGATGACCAGCTTCGTCCTCAACCTCCTGATCTGAGACAAAATCCTGGCAGCTTAAAATAAGGGCCTGAAAAACAAACAACAAACAAAAACAACCAAGAAGCCAAGCAGGGTTTGTGTTGCTATTCTTTTCTTCTACCAGAAGGACCCCCTCCTGATGGACCACCCTAAGGAGTTTCAGGCTGATCAAGTCGTGTTTACGACAGTTGTGGGCCAGTCAGCCACCACCCTATACATAGGAAGACCCTTCAGAAACTCAAAGGAAACCCCAACCCTCAGGTTCCAGCCTTAGCTTCCCTCTGCTTTTCACAGCTGTTTTTGTGTACACTTTGTGTGTGTGTGTGTGTGTGTGTGTGTGTGTGTGTGTGTGTGTGTGTTTCCTCACCCCTAATAAAAGCCTTTCTTGGCTGATTCTGTCTGGTGGGCTTGAGAATTTCCTCACTGCTACCTGTCATGCTTGAGATTTTTCTTGCCTTTTAATTTTTTTAAAACAGGCAGAGAAAACTGATGTGATCAACAGCCCTAGTGGTAGTACCCGAAGCCAGAGGTACACTCAGATGCCAGTGGAGGACTGGATACTTTACTCTCTCACTCTCCACCTTATCCGATGAGGCAGGGCCCCTCACTGACCCTGAGCTAACTGGCCAGCAAGCCCCAGGATGCTCTCATCTCTGCCTGCTTCCTATAGCTAATCCCACGAAGCAAGAATAAGACCACTACCACAAATTTTGAGCCAAATTTGAAGCAAGCTTTACTAAATACTGTCCAGGACAATGGACATTGGCAAGGCCCATACCCAGGATTCCCAGAGAATAGCTGAGTATTACTTTAGTCAGGTGCTTATAAAGGCAAAATCCACAAGGCTGTGTACTTCCTGCCTTTATCCAATGGGTGGCAAGCATACATCCTG